AGCACTTCCTTAAACCCTAAACCCTAGACCCTGAACCCTGAATCCTAAACCCTAAACCCGAAACCCTAGACCCTAGACCCTGAACCCTAAGCTTCCTAAACCCTGAACCCGAAGCCGGTCCGAAGCCTTTAGACCTATCTGCAGATCGCTGCAACCTGGGACGCAGGCTGTGAACTTCTTCGTCGCGAGGGGCCAGGTCCTTCGGGAGGGCTTAGGTTTTGGGGGGTTGGTTTTTTTTTTAAATGCAATAGGGTTTAGGGGTTAGGGTTTAGGGTTTAGGGTTTAGGGTTTAGGGTCTAACGGCTTCGGGTGTAAAGAATTTGGGGTTTAGGCTTTAGGGTTTTTGGGGTGGGTTTAGGGTTTAGGGTCCTCAAGAAACCTCTTGTGAAGATCCTCTGCATGCAGCACAGAGACAGGGAGCATTGCTGGGTTTGAAATCTGAGCACGCGAGGTTTCTTCGCGCCTCCGCGGTGCTCGCTTCCTCGGGTTCGCCTTCGCCTTCGCTGCCTGTTTTCTCCTGCAGGGGTTTCGGGCTTAGGGTCTAGGGGGATCATAAACCCTAAACCCTAAAAATCCCTAAACCGAAGCAAAGCAAGACAGCCTTGGCCGCTTTCTTTGCAGCCTCTTTGGGGGGATTCTTCAGGACGTCCTGAGAGAGACAGGTCCGATAGGACAAGAGTTGATTTCTCTTAGGGCTTTCAGGGTTTTTGGGGTTTAGTGTTCAGGAGTTAGGGTGTAGTGTAGGGTTTCGGCTTTAGGGTTTCAGGGTTTTGGGGGTTTTTGGGTTTTTGGGGAGCTCGTCCTTCAGCATGCGCTGGAGGGCTGCAACATCGTTGCCGTCCTGAGGTGAGAATCTCACAAGGACACAGCTGAGCTGCTCTAGGAGCCTCCAAAGACCCCTCCCCCTCCCTCCCTCTTGGAGGGTCGGGGGACGTAGTACATGGTTATTTTATGGACTTATAAGTACTATAACCCCCAATTAGGGTCCCTTTTAGGGTACTTATAAGTCTGCTAATTACCTACTTACTAAGTCCCCCTCCCCCTCCCTCCCTCCAAGAGCTGCAGGGCCTGGTCTGTAGAAGGCATGGTGACCAAAACTTTCGTCGCGGTCTTCTCGAATCGGGTCTGTCGCAGCTGAACTTGGAGGACCATGGGACTTAGTAAGTAAGGTTATAAGTCCCCTAATTGGGGGTTATAAGTATAGTTACCTTAGTTATAGCCCTACTTACTAAGTCCCATGATCCTTTAAGAGGAGGCATCTGCGGCAGCCCACCCTGCAAGCCACATGCCGCCTGTCCCGAGGGTGCCTCATTGCCCGAGCCTCGGCGGGCAATTCGAATCACAGACTTCCCCCAAACCCTAAACCCTAAACCCTAACCCCAAACCCTAAACCCTAAACCCTAACCCTAAACCCTAAACCCTGACCCTAAACCCTAAACCTCCAGGCCCCGAGCCGAATGGTGCACGCCCGTTCAGGCTGAAAAACTGGTCGGCGAAGCCCTCAGAGGAACTCTCATCCAAGAACAGGGATCGCGAGACGTTTAGGGCTTTCAGGCTCAGGGCTCTAGAGTTTGGAAGTTTACGGCTTGTTTAGGGTCATGGGGCTTCAGGTTCGGCGTCAAGGGTCCAGGAGTTCTTCGAATTCCTCTTAAAAACCCTCTAAACCATAAGCCCGAAGCTTCAAACCCTTGAAACCCCCAAACTCCAAACACCAAGCCTTAAACTCCAAACCCCCTTAACCCTCCCTAACCTAAACCCCAAACCCTAAACCCTAAACCCCAAACCCTAAACCCTAAACCCTCCCTGAACCCGAAGTTCACCTTGCTCCCTGAGACCCAGGCCAAGAGACGACGGGCACCCTGCTCCCAGAAGGAGACCTGCAGAGCAAATGGCCTAACGATTTAAGGTTTCAGTCTTTAGGGTTTAGGGTTTAGGGGTTTAGGGTTTAGGGGTTTAGGGTTTAGGGTTTAGGGTTTAGGGTTTAGGGTTTAGGCGTTTAGGGTTTAGGGATTAAGGGGCCTTTATGGAGAGGGTTCCCTTAAAGGGTTCCTTAAAAGGGATGCTATAAGGGGGTTCTAAGACTAGTGTGGGAGAGTATTTAGGCCCGTATATTACGCACCTATTCTTATTTTGCCTCCGCTGAAGGGCTCAGGGCGTAGAGTTTTGGGGTTTAGGCGCCTAGGGTTGAGGGCTCAGGGTTGGGATTCAGGGTGGGTTTAGGGTTCCGAACCCTAAACCCTAAACCCTAAACCCTAAACCCTAAACCCTAAACCCTAAACCCTAAACCATGACCGGCCGGCTTCCTGAAACCTGGGCGCAGCAGCATCCAGCCGCCTTCTGGTGGTGGTGCACGCGCAGTGCTTGCAGCTCCGTTGCTGCCTGCCAACTGCTAGAGGGTTTAGGGGTTCGGGTTTAGGGTTTAGGGTTTCGGGTTTAGGGTTTAGGGTTTAGGGTTTAGGGTTTAGGGTTTAGCTAGCTCTCATATGTGGCTAGTTCTCCAAGTCAGGGTCCCCTTTTAGGGTCCTTTTCAAAAGGGGGCCGTACTATTTGGGGACCTACAATGGGACCTTAATTTAGAAAACTAACTACCCATTATTTAGGTGTTGGGATTAAGCATTTCGGGCTTAGGGTTTGGATGTTGTGTGTCGCAACTCCCTTTTGTCACATTAACTACTCCCGAAATCCTTAAAACTATCCCAGGTAGCCGAGCATCTGTGCAAAAACGAAAACGTGTCTGTGGCTCCTAGAACCATGAGGATCTCCCTCTCTCATTTGCTCGTTCTCTTTTTGTGTCTTTCGTTCTCTGCGCAGTATACACCCACACATGTGTGCACCCATACCCCCCCTCCCCCCCCCAATGGTATCCTCCCAAATACACGGGGTCTGGAGCCTTGGGTGCCTGTGCGGAGGGCCTCTGTTTCAGAGGGAGACGCAATCTCCGAAGCTCCAAACCCCCGCCGTTACACAGGGGGGAGGCGGGATGATCAGAGGCACAACCATTGAAAGAAGGCCTAAACCAAACCACCCAACCGTTCCACACGCAAGCTCAAGGCCCAAGCCGTTCCACACAGGGGAGGGGGGATGACTAAGTGGGGGATACCATTTGAGGGGAAGGGTGGGGAGGGGGGGGTCTCGCCGGGGCGCAACCTGACTCACGCACCGGACAACCTGCCTGACAGACGCCCTCCTGGCCTTGGAAGCTCTAGCAATACCGCAGTACTAGCAGCAGCGAGAGCAGCAACAGCGACAATCCTCGTTCATGGCGACAGGGGGGGTGGAACAAGTCTACCGTCTACCGACCAGCATGAAGGTGGCTCCGGTCTTTGTGAATTAAACAGCTTGGTTCTAGACCACCCTCCGCACTGACGCGACGTTGGAACGCCAACGACTTATTGGCCCCAAACCCTAAACCCTAAACCCTAAACCGGCTTGACTAGACGGGACTGCTGCTAAGTCCGTGGCCTGCTGCAGCTCTTGCTGAAGCATGTGCACTGTCTGTCGAAGCTTCGGCACCTTGGTGTCATAGGATGCAGAAGTCCAGCCTTTTAGGGTTTAGGATTTAGGGTTTAGGGTTTAGGGTTTAGGGTTTAGGTTAACTGCGGACATGAGGAAAAACTTCATCATGTATGCTTCTCTGAAGCTGCTGTGCTTAGGCGGGTGTTATGACAACCGCTCGTACAAGTCTTACTGTTGCTGTTTCATTGCTGATGCTACTCTGCTCTATCACTACTTGACATCATTACGGCGAACCACTAACAGCAGTGGTAGCAACGATGGGGCTATTTTCGAAAGCTACAAAGGGAACCGGAACCTTAAGGAATAGCTTAAATAATTCTCTAAGCTTCACTTTCAGTCGTTGTGGCCGCCGGCAACCCCTGAACCCTAAACCCTAAACCCTAAACCCTAGACCCTAGACCCTAGACCCTAGACCCTAGACCCTATACCCTAAACCCTAAACCCTAAACCCTAAACTCAAGGCCCTGAACCTCAAGCTCGGGGTCGGGCCTCGTCCTTGGAGGAGGATTCCATGGACCTAAGGACGTGTGCGACAGCTTGTGGCGGTGGGCTCAAGAATTAGGATTTAGGGCTTAGGGTTTCATGCTAGTTTTCTTTCATGCGCAATGGCCCTTCCTCAAGGTTTAGGATTAGGGGCCTTAATACTTTGAATAGGGTTTCGCGCCCATTATACTTGAGTTATAATAGGGAACCCCCAAAAAATAGCATAGGTAATTGTTTAGGCCCCTATACTAGGGGCTTGGGCTTGAGGGTTCAGATGCTGGGCTCCCGTCTCGCTCTCTTGCCGACTGACCTTCAGCTCCAAGTGCCATTCATTGACTTCGACTCCAAATCCATTTGGGTAGTTCTCTATCTTAGGGTCCCTTCCCTTTTGTAAACCCTAAACCTTAAACCCCAAACCCTAAACCCTAAACCGTGGCAGCCTTGTAAAAAGAACGCCAAGAAGGGACCCTAAGTTCGAGAATTACCCCTTTGCAAACGAGCCTTTATGTACTGCTCAAGCTCTTGAATCCGGTCCTGCAAGGATGCAAGGGCAAGGTCGGTTGAGGGTTTAGGGTTTAGGGTTTAAGGTTTAGGGTTTAGGGTTTAGGGATGGTTGACAGGGAGACTGCCCCGGCCTCTGCGGCAGCACACCTCTTCTGCACTTGTTGGTGCTCTTCCTCGGTCGGAAGACTGCTTTCGGAGCATACTTAGGGTTTAGGGTTTAGGGTTTACGGTTTAGGCATTACACTATTCTGGGTAGGGACTATAATAAAGGGAAACTTTCATGAATCGTTCAGACTCACGCTGCGGCACTTCATGCGGAGATGCAGTGACGCAAAGCCCGCGACGAAGCCGACCATGGCAGCCCAAGGGGCCAACTGCCTCAGATAACAAGAGTTCAGGGTGCAGGGTTTACGATTTAGGGTTTAGGGCTTTAGGGTCAAAGCCAAAGCTCTTCTACCTAAGGCCAAATACGCCCCTCATTTTTACGTCCCTGATGAACTCAATAAAGCGTAACCATAAACCCTTTTGTAACCCCCGAATTCTTGGCCGAAGATCCACCAAACCACGAACAAAACACACCCAAACAGAAGCATGTCAACTGCCTTCGTGATCTCCAAAGGCTTGCAGGACCCTGAACCCTAAACCCTAAACTCTTAACCCCTAAACCCCTAAACCGTCAACCCTTGAACCCTCAACCCCTAAAGCCCTAAACCCTAAACCCCCTTAACCCTCAACCCCTTAAGCCCTGAACCCTAAACCCCCTGAACCCTGAACCCCTAAACCCAGGCACCGGGAGCAGGACTCTGAAGGGTCGCTAGGCAGAGCTCTGAGAGAAAAGCCCTGGCAAACGGCACTCAAAGGGCCGTCGGAAGGCCAAGAAACTTAGGGTTTAGGTTCCAGGGCTTAAGGTCACTAGTTCTTGGTGGGGTTTAGGGTTTAGGACTCACGACTTTTAGAATAGGGTTTAGGGTGTAGGATCAAGGGTTCAGGGTTTAGGGCATAGGGTGTCTGTAAAGTACAAGGGTGCCTTTATGGGCTATTATACGTTTTTCGTGTCGATACCGTGTGCCCAAAATTTCAGGCTTGAGGTTCTGCTTTAAGCTTTTGGGGTCCTTCAAAGATACCGTTGAGGGTACCCCTAAACCCTAAGCCCTGAACCGAAAGGCTTCCGGGCTTTGGGGCTTTGGGGGGTTCAGAGGGTATGTAGAAAGGGTTCTGTGGCGCGGCAAGGGTGTTCTAAGGATGCTTACACTCTGAGGTTTCCGGGGTTTCGGGCTTAGGGTTTCGGCTTTAGAGTTTAGGGTTTAGGCTTTCGGTTTTTTTGGGGGGGGTTCAGAGCCTCGAGCTTCAGGGTTTGCTACAGGGGCCTTATTAGTTAGCATAGGGTTGTGGGGTATATTATACTATAATTATACTACGGAATTTTTGAAAGGTAGTTATTTAAGCCCTAAACCCTAAACCCTCAACCCCATATGAGGGTTTGAAGAAAAGGCTTTAGTGCCTCGATTTAGTAGTTTCTTGTCTCGCGTGGCACCCGCAAGGTCTGGTGAAACCTTGGAGGCTTCTTGCTAGATCTTAAACAACTGCCCTGAATAATTACAATTGGGTTTAGGGTTTAGGAGCTATCATAGAACAGCTTATTCAAGCTTCCATATTAGATCAGGCCTTAGCGTCAGGTCGTGTGAAGGGCCACTACTGCCTGCTTGGCTGTAGCTTCTGCAGTGCCAGTAGAACCCCGCAGCACCTTTTGCGGCTTTTTTATTTAGGGTTTAGGACTTAGGGTTTAGGGGACAGGGCTGATGGCTGATGCCAGCCACTGCCAAGAACAGCGATACGACCCCCAATGCCACGCGGTACAGACTGAGGTCCCCTCCTGGATCTTATGCTACTGCATACAATGTATGTGGGAACCCCAACCCTCTAAGCCCTAAACCCTGAACCGTACCAGACCCCATAAACCCTAAACCCTATCAAACCCCATAAACCCTAAACCCTACCAAACCCCATAAACCCTAAACCCTACCAAACCCCATAAACCCTAAACCCTACCAAACCCCATAAACCCTAAACTCTACCAAACCCCATAAACCCTAAATCCTACCAAACCCCATAAACCCTAAACCCTACAAACCCGATAAACCCTACAAACCCTACAAACCCGATAAACCCTAAAAGCCCTACAAACCCGATAAACCCTAGACCCTCCAAACCCTATAAACCCTACAAACCCTACAAACCACACAAACCCTACAAACCACATAAACCCTAAACCCTACAAACCCTACCAAACCCTATAAACCCTAAACCCTAAACCCTACCAAACCCCATAAACCCTAATTTTAAACCCTACCAAACCCTATAAACCCTAAACCCTAAACCCTACCAAACCCTACAAGCCCGATAAACCCTATTAAAAAAACAAACTCAAGCCTGACCCGCTGCCTCTTCGCCGCCTCCGAGTTCCTTGATCCGGTGCTTGAGTCGGGCCAGTTCCCGACGGGCCTGCGGCGACTTTTGGACTTTCGGGGTGTAGGTTTAGGGTTTAGGGTTTAGGGTTTAGGGTTTAGGGTTGAGGGTTGAGGGTTTAGGGTTTAAGGCTTGGTGTTTAGGGTTTAGGGGTTTAGGGCTCAAGGGGGCCAGGGGGCTTGGGGTTTAGGGTATAGGGCTTAGGGCTGCGATCATTCAGAGGATCAAGCTTTCGTGTCTGGGTGTTGTTGTTGTCGTGGGGCTCCGGGGTGTTAGGGTTGCGACTGGGCTCCAGGGTTTAGGGTTTAGGGTTTAGGGTTTAGGGTTTAGGGTTTAGGGTTTAGGGTCGGGTTCATAGTAGGCAGGCAGTGGTTTCTTGAAGGGCAGCGGTGATCCGAAATACGATGGGTACAAAAGCTGGGTCAATAGGGTGCTACGATGAAGCACTCTGACCCCATCTACATCCCCACAACAAGTAGGTATGTATGTATGTATGTATGTATGTATGTATGTACGTATGGTATGAGTGTATGGGTATGTGTATGTATGTGCATGTCCATGTCTATGTCGATGTGTATGTCTATGCGTATGTCTATGTGTCTGTGCATGTGTGCATGTATGTTTGTATGTATGTATGCATGTATGTACGCATGTCTGTGTGTATGTGTGTATGTGTGTATTTATGCATGCATACATGCATGCATGTATGTATGTATGTATGTATGTATGTATGTATGTATGTATGCAGATATGGACGCAGATATAGATGCAGATATGTCCAGATTTGTACATACACACACTTTGACGAATGGACCAGCAGATAGCGGACAAATGGGTAATGTAGCCTGACGATCCCTGGCAACAGGGGGGATGGTTTTGAGCTTACAACGCCCGCCTGGCATTCCAGCTCAGCTTTCTCTCGCCGAACCTGAGACGGAGTTCAGGTTGTTTGAGGGCTAGAACTCTGATGGAAGTTCTGCTGCCTCTTGGGCACGAGTCAATCAAGAAGGCTGGTGTTGGTCTTGAACGGAAAAGAGATCCTGCGCATGCCTCTAGAGACTTCTATGCGAGCTGTCAAACGGACAGCTCATCAAAAAAAAGCAGCTGCTGCTGTCCACAGTGCCATCTCATCACTGTGCAGTGAAGGGCAGTGCAGCATGTCAGCATGTCATTAAATTGGTATCTATTGCTTTGCATGCCGTGCACTCTGGCGATGCGAACCTTCTCGACTTCGCGAAGGCTTTCACTGCGGACCTGCCCAATCGAGCAAGCTATGTAAGTCCTACCCCCTCATACCAACCTTCCGATAACCTTTGTTCAGCCATCCATACCAACAGTGAACAACGACCAGACAAGAAAACAAACACAACAGCAACAGTAACAGCAGCATCTGAACAACAAGCAAAGAGAAGTTGCAATAGTCACTAGATACAGGAGTAACAAGCACAGTAGCAAAACCAGCAGCATGCAGGTGCGAGTGCGATGAAAAAACGCTGACTGCAATAACCAGATGAAGACAGCAATACTAAGAGCGAATGCAAAATCCCATAGCAGTTACATGGCACCTTGCAGACCGCAGCATGCTGACACTGTTTTCCACTACCACGGGTACGATCACTCTGACTATGATGGCGATGTCCGACTGCTACAGCTGCAACGACCACCACCACCACCACCACGAAAATTAATGCACTGCTGCCGCCTACTGCTGCTACCGCGACAACGCCATCTCTGCTGCAATTAGTCTTTCGACTCTTCTGCTAGAACTCGCTGTGTTCCGATCCCTACTCTACGCTTTGCCTGTTCTGACTTTGGTTGAACGATTCTCTAGATTCTTTGGTTGAACGATTCTCTAGATTACAGCTCCTTTGGAATCCTCCAAGTAGTCTGGCACTTCTGAAGTCAGGGTCCCAAAAGCCGCGGTAACTTCGAGAACCACTCGTATTGGTCAGCTGTGTTCATGCCACGACCCCTCACTCCGAAAGCTTCTCTACACCGCAAGCCCTAAACCCGAAACCCCGGTCACGTCTAGTCGAAGAGGGAATGCAAAACCACTGTTTTCAGAAAGCCAATGGCAAGTCTGACGTCCATGAACCAGCTGGGCAGTCCGAAAACGAATCAGGCACTGCGCCCTTTGAAATCGCGTCTCAACAGCCATCTCTTCCGGAAGGCATCCTGCTGCAAAAGCAGCGCTGCTTCTCTGCGACTGAGCTGACTGATATTGCTCGGGACAGTACCGGTCTCAGATGCTGGCGTCAGCTGGGGTGGACTGCTGCTCGACTTAGCAGGTGTGGTTGACATGGCAGCTTGCAGCTTGGCCTTCTTCTTCTCCAACTCGCTCTGCATCTGCAGCTTCTGCTCGCGCTTCTTCGCAATCTCAGCCTCCAGCTCTTGGGCTCTCGTTTTGAGAGCCCCACAGGCCTGAGCCAGCCGTGTTGTCGGCGCAGCTGTGCCCGCAAGGAGACCTGGCAAACCTTGCAGCTGGCTGTCGATGGCCTGCTGCAACACGGCGTTCAAGGTCTTGAAGCGCCTTATCTCTTTCTTCAGCTCCGTATTCTCCGCCTGCATTTGGGTCATGAAGGCCTGTGCCTTTGGCAGGAGGGCGGCAGCATCTCCGGCCAACATGGCAGCTTGAACCATGCGCCTCGATATGCCAACAACACACAAGATCCTAGCCTACCATATGCGCAATGCTGGGCTGAGAAACAACGATACAAAGGCCAAAGTGCATGCTGGTCTGAAAGAATAGAATATACCCTATCTGCAGGCTTGTGCTTTCCAGATGCTCTGGGTCTACGCAACAACTTGGAACCGAAGCCGGCGATGCTGCATGCACCAAGAGAAAGAACTTTCGATACTAAACCATCGATGATGAAGGTGTAGGTTTGGGGTTTAGTTCAAGGAAGCTACAGGTGGGGAGTTTAGGGTATATCGGGCTTCTATGAGGCTTCCATAAGGTATAAAGGTATAGACCTTCTATACGGCTCCTATAATAACGGTAACTACCCACCAGAACATGTCCTAGACTTAGGGGAAACCCTAGACCGTCCTAAACCCTAGACCATCCTGCAGCCCCCAAAACCTCTCAGCTTAGGGTTTAGGGTTTAGGGTTTAGGGGGTTAGGGTTTAGGGTTTAGGGTTTGGGAACCTTGCAGAACTGCCGACTTCGCCTTCTGAAAGCTCCTAGACTGAACCATTTATAATAACCCTTGCTTAAAGGATCATGGGACTTAGTAAGTAGGGTTATAACTAAGGTAACTATACTTATAACCCAAATTTGGGGACTTATAACCTGACGTACTAAGTCCCATAGTCCTCCAAGTAAACTAAGCACCCTCTCTAAATCACGAACCATAAACCCTAGACCTAGACTGCCCCCTAAATCCAAAAACCCTAAAATCCCTCAAACCCTGCACCCCACAGCGCGCCCCCCTCCCCCCCACTCCCCCAAACCCTAAACCCTAAACCCTAAACCCCAAACCCTAAACCCTAAACCAAAAAAAAACAGCGTAGCCTCTGCCAACTGTCGACTCCACTCCGCCTTCCCCTCCGCGAAGTCGTTCGCCTGAAGAGTTTGGGTGCAATGACAAACAGTAGTTGGTTTAGGGTGTAGGGTTTAGGGTTTAGGGTTTAGGGTTTAGGGTTTAGGGTTTAGGGTTTAGGGTTTAGGGTTTAGGGTTAATTGGAACTATCATACTTCGAACAATGCCCGTAATATAATCATCAGCATCATAACCACAACATGAATAGCTGATAGACAAATACATGACAACATAAAAAGGACAATCATAATAGCAATAATAATAGTAATAGTAGTAACGATAGCACTAACAATAATAACAATAATGATAGCCATGGCAATAGTAGTAGTAAGAAGAAGAAGGAGGCTGCTATAAGAAGACTTCTTTGAAGACTTCTTTAAACCCTCAACCCAACCCTAAACCCTAAAGTTCCAAGGGTTCTAGCAGGGTTCTCAAATTCACGATCTCACAATGTAGGCTCCATGTCACTTGTCCAGTATCCTAGGGGGCACGAAAGGTCACTTTCGGTCCAACATCGGGATTGCAGAACCCAAAAAGCTGAAGGTTACCTGCTCCACTACTACTTGGAGGCCCAGGGGACTTAGTAAGTAGGTTATAAGTAGAGTTATAATTGGGGTAACTCCATTTAGGGTACTTATAACTCTACTTACAACCCCCTAAACCCTAAACCATAAACCCTAAACCCTAAACCCTAAACCCTGAACCTACTTACTAAGTCCCCTGGGCCTCCAAGTAAGCCATGTTAGGTCCCTCTGTCGCCTGGTTGCGAATGTAGCGGTGCAGCTCCTCCATCCGCTCTTCCTGAGATCTGGGGGTTTCCGAAAATTAGGGGTGCCTTATTTTGGGGTCCTTATAATAAGGATCCTATTATTTAGGGTACTATATTAGGGTCCCCTTTTTTCGGAAACCCCCTGAACAAGATCACACTTGAACGCCCGTCCCTCATCCGCCTCATCCCGAATCCCTAAACCCTAACTTATCCCAAAACCCTAATCCCAAAACCCCAATCCCGGAACCCTGAACACCACATCGCTAATATAGGGGCCTAAGTAACTACCTATACTATGTTGGGAGATCCTTCGTTTAAAAAAGAGTATAGTATACCCCCAAAATCTTATTCTAATTATTAAGGCCCCTATATCCTTAGAGTAGCCCTTATAGAACCCTTTAAGGAACCCTTGAAAGGCCCCTAAACCCTAAACCCTAAACCCTAAACCCTTGAAAGGCCCTTCTTCGTACGTCTCAAAGCGCTCCCTCTGAGGTCACGGCGGCCCGGGGATCCCTCGGTGACCATTCGCGGCTCCTGGAGGATCCTGGCAGTCCGGTTTAGGGGCTCCTTCTAGGGTTTAGGGTTTAGGGTTTAGGGTTTAGGGTTTAGGGTTTAGGGTTTAGGGTTGAGGGCTCCTTTTAAGGACAAGGCTCCTTTAAGGGCTCCTTTTAAAGGGTGCTATAAGGGTTTCTCAAGTTTAGGGCCTGGGGGTGTTTAGTCTAGGATCTTTAGGCACTCGGGGCTCTTATGCAGCTTATGAAAGCTTTTGGTTTAAGGCTTAGGGTTTAGGGTTTAGGGTGTAGGCGTTGGTTTGTGGCTTCGGTCACGAACTTGGGGTTTCGAGGGCTTTGGATTCAGGGCCACTAAGGCGAACGGGCCAGGGTTTCTGGCTTCGGGCCGTATCAGGGTTTAGGAGCCGCTGGCCTCTGCAAACAAAGGTTTCTGGCTTTCCATAGGCCTTTGTAATATCTCCTGTGGTATATTAAATATATAATATCTAATATGTAGCGTGCCAATTTATCTAGCATAAAATATCTAATATGTAGTTTACCAATATATAGCATATAATTACTAATGTGTAATTTATCAATAATTATATAGCATGCATGGTATCTGGATAGGGCAAGGGACTTCGGGGCTACTGCGGCCGCCTGGAGCCACGCCGTCGAGATTCTTCGGTGGGGCCAGCGGGGCTACTGGAGAGGCGGCGACGGGCGGCACCACTGGCGGGACCACAGGTGGCGGGGCCACCGGCGGCAACATGGGTCCTGGCTATGCAGGGTTTGTGGTTCTTTTTTTTGGGTTCCGTCAAGGGGCATTGAGTTTTGGATTGACGGTTCCTTTGAGAGTTTAAGATTTGGGAAATCCGGCAACAGATCGGAAACATGGACATGGCAGCAGCGCACCTGTGTATCCACGCTCCAGCGATGCATCCACTCCAGGCAATTGCTTTGCCTCCGAGCGCTACAAGTGCTTTTACAGGATCTGCGAAACACGAGATACCCATGCTGCCACGCAGCAATCTCGGTCACCACTTGCTGGTAGTACTCGCCCTGGCAGGCCAAGACTTCGAAACGTCATACGGACTTCTCCCTAAACCCTAAAGTCTAAACCCTAAACCCTAAGGGATGTACCATCCCGGTTCAGGCCTCAGTGTTTTCAGATCAGATGCAAAGTCAGGCGAAACGAATCTGCTTAGTCTTTGTCCCTCGCTGGCAGTCTGAAGCGAGCCAGGTCGTCATGGAACCCTTGCTGCTTCAAATTTTGTGCCTCGGTAGCTTAACTCTTTCGACTTAGGCATGGCACGGGAAACCGGGCGATGTAGAGCAGCCGAACAGTTTTTTCCTCCACCGCAGAGCCGACAGGCAACGAGTGCATACCCAGCGCCTGCAGCAAGCTACCTTGGAGTGCTGTGGGTTCCAATCCCAGAAATGAACATGTCGCAACGCGTCGCAAGGGACATCATGCTTTGGGTAAAAAGGCTATCTGCTCTTAATTAAAAACAAGTCTGTTCCTAGTTATCTGTTTTAAATTAAGAACAGAGTCGAGCGATCGCAGTGATGACCGGCGGGCAGACCGCATTTCCAAGTTGGTGGTATGCTCGGTTTTCACCTCGCAATCGGATAAGCCAGTGCCAAGGAGACAGCTTCTCAGCCCTAAACCCTAAACCCTGAACCCTAGACTAACTAGGGTTTAGGGCTTAAGGTGTAGGGTTTTTCTAAACCCTAAACCCTAAAACTAGACCCGGATTTGCAAGGCAAGACACTATGCGGGTTGGCAAAGACATGGTGCTCCGGAAAGCCCATCAAGCGTGCGAACTCTCGCCTGCCCAAGGCGCCCTCCCTCTCTTTCTCGCCCTTATGATGCCCCAATCTTCACTCAGTCAATCCGAACCTATTACTTTTGTAATTGTTACTACTATTACTTTTATTGCTGTTTACTGTTGTTACTGTTTGTTATGAATAGTGTTATTGTAGCTTTATATCTAAATTAAATTACAGCTATTGTATACGATTGTTGCTTGTATTACTATCATTGCTATTTTTATTGCCATTATTCCTCACCCTCATCTTCGGCCCTGTGCTGACAGAAACCTCTCGAGCTAGGTCCACTTGCTCAGCAAAAGCACCCTGCAAGTCCTTGTGAAGCAGTTCCCCAAAGCACTAGGCCTCAAAGCCGAAAGCCTAAACAGGGCCTAAACTCCAAAACCCAACACCGTAAAACCCTAACACCCCAACAACCTAACGCCCTAAGACCTAACATCCTACCACACTAACATCCCAACACCCAACACCCCAACACCCCTTTTACCTATACCACCAAACCCTGAACCCTAACACCCCAAACCCCGAAACCCTTATAGTCCCGGATAGTAGCCGTATACACCCGCAAACCCTAAACCCCCAAATACCCCAAAACCCGCTCTCCAGGTCAGCCTTGTAAAGAAGCGCGGGCGGGAGAGCTTTGCATCTACCGGGGCCAGGAGCTCCGCAGTGCACGCATAGGAGGACTTGTAGCTGGCCTGGTTGTGGTTTAGGGCTTAGGGTGTAGGGTTTAGGGTTCGGGGGTTTAAGGTGTTGAGCTTATTGGGGAGCCTGGTGAGGGTGGGCAGCGAGTTCTGTTTCGATGGCTTAGGGTTTAGGGTTTAGGGATTGGGGATGGGGTCTTGCAGCCCTAAACCCTAAACCCTAAACCCTAAACCCTGAACAGTGCAGGGCTTCCGGGGGTTGACGAGCTTTCATTCCTGTTTCGAGCTTCAGAGCAGTCCGAGCTCAGGGAAGGGAGAAGCTTGGAGCCCAATCGGAACTCTGGTTTGGGTTTAGGGTCTTAGGGTCTTAGGGTCTTAGGGTTTAGGGTTTAGGGTATAGGGTTTAGGATTTAGGGTTTAGGGTTTAGGATTTCGGGGTTTAGGGGTTAAGGGGTTTAGGGTTTGGGGTTTAGGGTTTGGGCATTTCTTTCAGGCATTCTGGATTCAGTTATGAAGTGGATGTCAAAGCTCGGCGTCCACAGAGACAGGGAGAGAGACAGAGAGAGAGAGAGAGCGAGAGATAGATACTGAAATGTGTGTGTACGAGCATATGTGTACATGACAGGTGTATATATATATATATATGCACATATGCATGTACATATGTATACATTTATATTCATATGCGCGTGCTATTTACGCACACACACACAAACACCATGTGTTGCGAAAGACCGCCGGGGGGTTCAGGCTCTCTAGACTTATTCTTCGCACAGTTCTCTCAAGGCCAAAGAAACCCCTAAACCCTAAACCTAAACCCTAAACCCTAAACCCAACTCTGCTTCGAAGCCGCCGTCAGAGTTCCCACCGCGCCATCGAGCTTTGCGAAGCGCAGGCTCTCGCCACCACTTGCCCATGTGGAGCTCTTCTGCACGGCCTCGGGCTTCTGAACTCTCCGAAATCCCACACCTCGGAACTTCTGAACCGGAAGTTCTAGTGAGGACTGCTTCTGAACTGAAGTTGCCCAGGATCTTCCTTCAGAGCCCCACTCTGGGATAGAAGCCTCTGAGCCGAGCATAGCCCTACACCTAGGCTTCAGGGTTTAGGGTTTAGGGTTTAGGGTTCAGTGTTTTTTTTTAAGTGTAGTGGCCTTTTCTGTGAGCAAGCCCGCCTCTGGGTTCAGTGTTTAGGGTCTAGGGTTTGGTTTTAAACGGCATCTCTTGGTAACTATGGGGGGGTAGTTCTCTAAATTAGGGTCCCTTTTTGGGTCCCCCATATGGTACGGCACCCTTATAAAAAGGACCCTAAAAGGGACCCTAATTTTGACAACCACCCATGGAGACTTTCCAAAGAACCTGCTCCGCCAAACCTCTCAGGTCTTCGGCTCTGAAACGCTAAACCCCAACCTTCGATGCCACACCCTGGACTCTAGGGTTTAATGGTCTAGGGTTTAGGGTTTAGGGGTTTAGGGTTTAGGGTTTAGGGTGCCCTAAACTCTAAACCCTCCCACCCTCAAAAGCTTTCACAACCCTGAAGCCTGTAATCCTCGCCCCTGCAACCCTCAACCCCAAACCCTTTGACAAGAAACCCGAAATCCTAGACCCTAAACCCTCAACCCTAAACCCTAAACCCTGGACCCTAAACTCTCAACCCGAAAACCTAGACCCTAAACCCTCAACC